CGCAGACTGATCCAAGTGGTCACCCACCCGCACACTGACCGCAGCCAGTGATGCTTGACTTCGGTGATCTGCTGGGAACCGTGTCTTAACGATCAGCCCACTGCGAGACCTAGTCAAAGCAATAGGTCTATAGCTAGTGGTTTCTTCGGGGTTTTTACCTGGCTTTAAAGTGGGAATTACATAGGCAGTTAACCATTTTTTAGGAAAAACTCGTTCAATCCAAATGCGATTGTATAATTTCAGGAGAAGACTTGAAATTTTATCCGGAAAGTTTTGAAGCATAGAGTAGTGAATTTCATCAGGACCTGGAGTTGTTGGGTGGGTACTTTTTAAAGCTATCTGAAGTTCGTTAAATGTAAAAGGTTCGTTGTAATTACTATTTGTTTTCTTAGGTGTCAGTTTTATTTTTTCTTGATTTCTTTTAATTGAAGCGAATGGTTCTTTGTAGTTAAAAGAGCTAGAAAATATAGCAAAAGCACCTGCAAGGGCGTTTGTAATATCGTGTATATGTGAGATAGTTAAATTATTACACTTAAGAATAGAATATTATGTACTGTATATTTAACAGAAATCGTCCTTATTTTATTCCAGATTATGTTTGATGGTGTGTTATACTTTATGGAAGAGATATAGTTTTGCCAGGAAGATTTTGGAGCATTTCGTCGAGTTTTTCGGGCTGCTGATTTTGAAAGTAATCAGGTTATCAGTAGTTGGATGTTTACGAAAAGTCTGCCAACACTGTTTTTGCTTTCTTTGTGCTTTTTTACAATCATCGTTCCACCACGGTTTTGGGTGTTTTGGTAATTTTGTGGATGACAATTTTGAACTATGTTTGGTTGCTTCAAGTACCATATCTGTGAAATGATCAACTGCAAGATTTATATCAGCTTGGTTTATTAAGCTTTCATCAATATGTATGCAGGTGGTGAATTTTACCCAGTTTGTTGTCTTCAATTTTATTCGTGGTGTTTTGGATAATATATAGTTGCTATTGCCTGAGTGAGTAAATGGCTATATCACACGAGAGAAAATATGTGCAACTGCAAGTGTAAGTGCAACTGTAAGTGAAATTTCTCCAAAAATTGCTCGTGTGATATAGAAATCACGGTTGCACGAAATATCTGCAACCATTCAGGCAATTTCTTTCATGAACCAATCAGATCGTTTGCTTTTATGACGTTTCAATTTTATGTGATGACGTATACAAATGTAAATAAAAATGGCGGCGACGTTGGTGAAGAGGATGATCGGATGAAATTTTTTTATAGACGAAACGGAACAGTTTTTTAGTTTAATAATAACATTTTCTTTAAAATCAAAGCATTAAAAATACTTTCACACGATGAAATAACCATCTCAATGCAGTTGATGTACTACCATAACAGGAACCTGCACATCATTTTAGTATCGGTGAGTATAGTACACTATTTTCTAGATAAATTTTCTTTTAAAATATTTATTTATTTTAAGCTAATAAAATTAAAACTTATTATAATTTGTTCCGATCAAAGTTTTAATTACTTTAAATAGAAATAATTTCTATTTTTATATATGTACAACCT